AGCCATAGCAGAGCTGTAAACCCCCGCGCGAGCGGTCGCGACGCACGCCCAACGTCCTCCGCGTCCCGCGCTCGACCTGAGCCCGTTGGGCCCACGTGATGCCACTGGAAAGGAGTCAGCAATGGTGGTCACGGAGCCCCGCAATGATACGCTCACCAACCAATCACGTCAAGGCGGACGCGCCGGAGCCCAGTGGTGTCCACGGGAAGTGGGTGGGCGGGCCGAGGGGCGGGCTGGGCGGAAGAGGAACAAGGAGGGTGCGCGAGCGCCCGGAGGGGAGGGGCGGGGACTACCGCGGCGGGCGGGGATAGGGGCGGGACTATGGGCTGACTGAGTCCCGGGAGGGATCGCAGGCCCTGCCATGCCTCACTGGTGGGCGCGCCAGAGCGTTCTCTGAGAGCCTCCCAGCCACCTAGGCTATCCTGAGCGAGACCCAGCCTGAGCTTAGCGCCCAGGAATTCACGTGTAAGATTAGGATGCAGCTAACCCAGGGGTGCGCAAACTTTTTGACTCAGGGCCACAATGGGTTCTTAAACTGGACTCAGAAGAAGGAGCTGCGGCCCTGTTTCCCTACGTTGCCATGTTAACACTGCTGCTGGTGAAGGAGCGGAGGGGAGAGCAAGAGAACCCTCCGCTCTTTCGGCTCCGCAGCCGCAGGCGGTAACCCCTGTCAACAATTCAGAGTGCTGTATACTCTAGCCAGTGTACACAATTTTTATTGTCAGGCTGAAAATCATGTTTTCCAGATTCTACTTGGGTGTTTTCTATTGGACTATCTGATGGGGGTGGGGTGAGGTGGGAGCTGGGTGAAAAGATGGAAGGATTGAGTACAAATTGGTGGTTACAAAATAGTCACAGGGATGTAAAGTACAGCATAGGGTAAAGAGATTTAAAATGGTGGCAGAGTAAGTGGATGCTGCACAGACATGCTCCCAGGAACAAACTGGAATTACAACTAAAATATAGAAAAACTTCCTAAATAATCAACAGAAAACTGGCAGGAGAGAACCCTGATACCCAAGGACAGAAAGTGGAGACCCCATAGAGACTGGTGGGAGGGGCAGAGGCCTGAAAGGGCTGGCCAGGTGCCCACAGACAGCAACTGAAGTTCCAGAAAGATATCTCAGCTGTGGGGGGTTGCCACTGAGCATGCTGGGATCTAATACCCAAGCTGGAACCCCCCAGCAGAGAGCACCACAACTGAGAAGGGTACACACATAACATCTGACTGTGAAAAGCAGCGGAGTTGCTGTCTGCAAGAAAGAGATGGCTGGAAATTCAGGCACCCTCTTAAAGGGCCAATGCACAAAATTCCCTGTGGAGCCACTCACTTTGTGCTCCGGCAGAGGGAGGGCAGAGTGGACTGGAGCTGTATGTGCAGAAGCCAGGACTGGGGACTTGGGGGTAGAGCTTAGAAGGCAGACACCCCAAGTTTCCTGGGCTGAGTCATTCCCTCACGCAGCAGAGGACATCCTTCCCACACAGACATTTGCCTCTATGGGGGGGAAGACAGTTGACCCACCCTATTGGAAAACACCTTGCCCTGAGGCCACTAAGAGAGTAAAGATAACAATTAGCCTCCAGGCAGAAGCAACTGCCCCACCCTGTTGAAAAAAAAAACTCGCCACACCTGAGGATGATTGCCTGGGGCCATTCAAGTCCGAATCCTATCAGTCTGTAGGCAGAGGTGGTCTCTGGAGGCTGTGTCTTTGCCTGATCTAATCAGTCAGAAACAGCATTTGACACTGTCTACACTAGAGACTGAGAGATGTAGAGGATCTACTTAATACATAGTCACAAACTCAAACAGACAGCCAAAATGAGACAAAGAAACAACCCTCAAATGAAAGAATAAGAGAATTCTCCAGAAGAAGAGATAAATGAAGCAGAGATAAGAAATTTATCTGAAACAGATTTCAGAGTAATGATGTAAAGATGCTCAACAGTATGAAAAAAAGATATAGTAACTAGGAAAAAAGAATAGTTGGAAATAAAGAATGGCATAACAAATAAAGAACACATTGGAAGGAATACACAGCAGATTAGAGGAAGCTGAGGATTGAATCAGTAAATTTGAAGACGGGGTTGAAAAAAATCACTTAATCAGAGAAGCAAAAAGGAAAAAACAATTTAAAAAAAGGAGGACAACTTAAGGGAACTGTGGGACAACGTGAAATGTAATGATATTCAAATAGCAGGTGTGCCAGAAGAGGCAGAAAGAAAGAAAGGGATAGAGAACGTGTTTGAAGAAATAATGGCAAAAAACCTCCCTACCCTGGTAAAGGAAAAAGTCACACAAGGAGGCACAGAGAACCCCAAGCAAGAGAAACCAAACAGGCCCATGCCCAGACACATCATAATTAAAATGCCAAAAATTAAAGACCAACAGAGAATCTTAAAGGCAGCAAGAGAAAAGCAAACCATTACCTACAAAGGAGTTCCCATACGGCTGACACCTGATTTCTTATCAGAAACTCTACAGACCAGAAGGGAATGGCATGAAGTACTACTCAAGGTAATGGAAAGCAAGGATCTGAAAACAGATTACTATATCAAGCAAGGCTATCATTCAAAATAGATGGTGAAATAAAGAGCTTCCCAGATGAAAAAAAAAAAAAGCTAAAGGAGTACATCACCATCAAGCTAGCATTACAAGAAATGTTAAAGGGACTGCTGTAATGAGAAGAAGAAACAGAGAGAGAAACCTAGGCATACAGAATTAAAATGGCAATAAATAAGTACCTATCAAGAATAACCCTAAATGTAAATGGATTGTGTAAATATTTCAATCAAAAGGCATAGGGTTGCTAAATGGATACAAAAACAAGACCCAACTATATGCTGTCTACAAGAGACCCACATAGAAAGAAGAAAAGACACACACACAGGATGAGAGTGAAGGGACAGAAAATTTTTTTCCATGCAAATGAAAAAGAAAAAAATAGCTGGAGTAGCAATACTCATATCTGACAAAATAGACTTTAAATGAAGGCCATTATAAGAGACAACAAAGGTCACTACATAATACTAAAGGGATTGATCCAACAAGAGGCTATAACCCTGGTAAACATATATGCACCCAACATAGGAGCACCTAAATATATAAAGTATATCATAGGGAATATAGCCAATCATATTGTAATAACCATGTACGTGCCAGGTAGGTACTTGAAATATCAGGGGATCACTTTGTAAAGTATGTGATTGTCTAACCACACTAAGCTGTACACAAGTAACTAATGCAACATAATATTGAATGTAAACTATAATTAAAAATAAAATCTAAGAAAACACATCAGAGGATGTATTAAAAGTATCTTCTCTGGGTTATAAATGACTGACAAAGGTAGTCACCCAAAGTTGCTGGAAAAGTCCACTGAAGGGTAAATGTTTTTCTCACTTTGAATCACAAATAGTCTTTATGACTTAATTTACAGGATTAACTTTTTAAATTTAACTCTGAGGTTAATTAAAGAGTACTCTGTGATCGGCACATCCCTATGGAGAGGATCACCAGCTTTGAGTTGGTGCATTGTTTGAGTTGGTGTCATTTGTTGAGCTTACTAAATGTACTATGATGCTACTAGGCATTAGGAATACAACAAGCATAGTCTGCCTTCCAGGGACTCAGTCTATAAAAGACAGACACACAACAATTCTAATAATTAGATATATTTTTAAAAATATTAAAAAAAAATAGCCTGGCTGATATGGCTCAGTGGTTGAACATGGACTGATGAACCAAGGGGTCACAGTTCAATTCTCGGTCAGGACATGTGCACCCAAGCTTGATCCCCAGGGTGGAGCGAGCAGGAGGCAGCCGATCAATGATTCTCTCTCATCATTGATGTTTCTACCTCTCCCTCTCCTTTCCTCTCTGAAATCAATAAAAAATATTAAAAAAATAAGTTTTAAAAAAATAACCAAATAACATTAGTTGAAGGGGGAAAGCTCATTATTTCAGAAGAATTCCAGCTAATATGTATAGAAGAAAGAATCACAATATTTCCTAAAAATGATTCAGGCAACAAAACTATTAGGTGAAAGATGGATGAGGAACTGGATGCCAAATATCTCTCCACAGATTCAGAGGAAACACACCACCACTGTGGAAACCCACTGATCAATGTAAACATTATTAAAAGTAGAACAATAACCAGACTCAATGGCTTTTGTGGGCAAAAATGTTGAACCTTAATCTACTCAGGACTTTAGATCTAATTTCCAGTCTACAAGAAGCATGGAGAAAGAGAAAAGGAAGTAATTGGACAAGTCCAGAATGTGAAACATTTTATAGGACAACTAACCCTGTTTCTTCAACAAGTCAACAACAGAAGAAGAAACAAAAGAAGGTTCTAAATTTATAAAAACTTGGCAAAATATTTTAAATCTTGAAATAATTTTTTTTCTAGAGAAAGAGAGAGAAAGGGAGAAAAAGAGAAAAACGTCTATTTGTTGTTCCACTTATTTATGCATTCATTGGCTGATTCTTGTATGTGCCCTAACCTGGGATTGAACCTTCAACCTTGATGTATCAGGACAATGCTCTAAACAACTGAGCTACCTGGGCAGAGCTAAAAAATTTAAGTATATATATTCATTGAAAAAAATTTCAATTACTCCAAAATATATAAGACAGAAATAAAGTTCCTACTCCTTAAAGGTAACCAGTTTGTAATATGGCATGACAGATTTTTATGTAATACATACATAGGCACCCATTTATATCACTTTTTTTAAGTTTTATTGCTTAAAGTATTACAAAGGGTATTACATATGTGTCCTTTTTTTTTTCCCCGCCCTTGACAATCCCCTGTCCTCCCCTATCCCCCAGTGGCTTATGTCCATTGGTCATGCTTATATGCATGCATACAAGTCCTTCGGTTGATCTCTTACCCG